ATACCAGAATCGTGCATATTCCAACTGAGCTAGACATATGTTTTCAGTACGTTTAATCGACAAAAATCAATCCAAAACTAATATGCAGACCAACTCCACATAGATATATATCATAATAAGTAGTATAAGTAGTATAACTCGACAGTTTCCCTGGAAGCACACGACCGGTTACGCGGTCCATGCCGCTCTTCGGCATGCGTATCAGGTAATCTTGTCAGTTCATTCATACACTTTTACCGAAAAAGTATTTTCGTCACAATAACCTCAGTTGAAACATCATACATATATACACTGCATATATATATATATATATATATATATATATATATTGATATATATATATAATCTCGGATTCTATGAGAAAACAACTTGAGGATCGATACCATAACTAGACACGCCTACTCAATGGAACGAGTGGGGACTGTAAGCCCCGGTTGATTACAGATAAATTAAAGATAAGATACACGGAATCCTAATTTGATTGTATAAAAGATACCTACCACAACATCTGAAACACAATTTGGCGAAAAAAATTAATTTTCCGTAATTTATTCTCAAACCATTTATATGTTACATATCGGACGCTAGAGAACAGATCACAGTTATACACAGCAACAATCATGCAAGACTTTGCCGCTGTCAACTTCTGCTTTTATTTGATTGGTTTAACCAGCTTACGGCCTTAGGGTAACTAGATAATGGATCCTTTCGGTCCTGATCGATTATGGGATATGGAAATCCGAGTGACGGAAACAAGGCCTTAGGTGCAGAGACCAAGGATCAAATTCCATATCCTGATCTTTTCGGCAATCGACGCGGTTAAACGCTTCTATATTCGCATCGAATCTGATTGTCTACCGACATCGCTGTGTTATTAACACTAAACCATTCACAACTTTTCAGTTTACACTTTATTTACTCTCTGTAGGATGGATTTCACTACATAACCCTTGCGTTTGATGAAGGAATACAGTAAACTATGAAAACGACGTCCAGATCTACCAAGTACCCGGTGTCGACTAAGTGCTGTGGGATTGACTGATTATTGAAGAGGTCCGTCCTAGTCTTAACCAGCATGGGTGATGCTCGTTACTCCGGGTGCATAACGGTCGTGCAGTTCGACAAAAATAAGATGCGTCACAAAAACATCCGAAGCAGGGCAAAACCGGTGAAGAGGCCAGTGTCGACAGTTTCGCCTTGTTTCCCATCTGGATGATGGGAATACCTCGGAACACCCAGCTTGGTTTGGCAACATTGGTGTTACTAACTCCTCTATCCATACGTCGGACTGGAATCTCACTCGCAGTATCTCTCTTAAATGGCAAACCGACGAACAGACTTTTCTTTATCTTGGTCTCCTAGGGTATTTTCGGTATCAGATTCCTTTCAGCAAAATGATCCGGGCGGGTATCCGTCCTCAAGTTAGATCTTTTTATGAGCATCAACTGATCATCTAACACCTTCTCAGAACAGACTGAACTCATTTTGATGGCCAAATATTTCACTAATTGAAGTTGACGTTGGATCATAAAAAAGCTGTTTGTTGAATTTGGTAACGTGGCCACTCCATATCCGTTTTTAGTATATACCTTTCGTTCGATCCGACCATCTTCAACTCTGCTCAGAAACGCATTCTGAAATGACAGCAGATTGGTCGTTTCGTGCTCGATTATGAAATGAACCTTTCCGTGCACATTGTTACACTCCATTCACACACATTTCAAGTCACACCAAACACCGGTCACACTGAAAATGTCGTCTCCATTATGAGTAGCAATGGCTGGAATTATCGGCTGTAGATATGGGTTCGGTTTTGTGAGGAAACCATCAACAATACTACGAATTAGAGAACCTAGTGGGAGAATCTTTTTCAACTAAAACGCCGTAGCGAATGAACGTTTGATGCAGATTAATACATGAAACGTAAGCTAGCTGTATGTATCAACGATGAGGTGAGTGATAGAGATCCGAGCCTCTTTGTCATTATCCTTTGCACGTTCATCTGTCCAAATGAACTACAACTCTGGTGTTACCAGGTACAATGCAAAAGCAACACCAACGATAGTAGTATTCAGATGATTAGAGTGAGTGAACTACGCCGCAGTTACAGCACCATTCGGCATAGTTTTCAGATGTACCGATGATTCGCTGAGACGTGCAGGAAGAAAATTATATTCTAACAGCTGGTTTGAACGTTTAAACAGCTTTGAACAGTGGGTCAATGCGAATATTTATATCATCATCATTGTACACCGTAATGCAGTGAAGCGAACTTCACTGATCGCTGCCAAACTCATAATGCATACAAGATAAATGAGAATGTGTAAGGAAGACAGGGGTTGGGCCTATTTTCAGGGACGGGAAAAGAAAGCGAACCTCTATGGTCAACACACAGCACACAGTCCAACTGTGCAAACATACCGTTTCAAGCATTCTGTTCTGATAAGAAGTGACAGCAAGATCGCCATTGCTGTCGGTTCGCAGCCATGAACATCAGTGTCTCGAACCATGCGGTTACGGAGTCTTTTGGACCCCAACCCGGAAGACGAGAGACTCCTACTCTACCTAATCGTTCTGTGCATTTCTTCGTGCCTCGTCTCCACGTCATTTGCTGGCCTCCACGTGGCTTTCTTCAGCCTGTAACAGCCACACACAATTCAGTTTAAACAACCATTAAGTATGCATCCCAACCTCAACGAAGCAACAGAATGCAATCCGAACTAACGAGGATTATCCAGGCGTAGAATTTTTCCGCGAAAACAATTATTATTATTATGGGTCATTTTATAAGCAACGAAAACAACGGCGATTCCCCAAAAGGACACTGTATTGGCTTTCACCAGCCTAATCATCTGGGATCAATGTGCTTTGTAAAAGTTGTTAGTAAACCGAAAATTCAAGCGAAAAAGGTCAAAAGCAGCTCGGGTCAGTATGTTATCAAACGTTGTTACTTAATAAAAGAAAAAACAAATAGAAACTATCCGCAACATGTTGATTAGATTATCTTGGTGCATCTCAATTGTGTCAAATAAACCCAATCACCCTTTTCAAATGACAGCCTAGATGATGATAGAGATGTGAAAACAAATGACAGCATTAAATAGGAGTGAATTCGGATATTGAATCGTCTTCTTGTGCCAATGTAACAGTCTTCGTATTGTGCAATAAAACTGCCTCCTTATCACAATATCTTACCATGTTTTCAAAAATAGATCAACGAAAGCTCCCTCGCAGTTTTGTAGTGCAATCCGAGATGAAGGTACCGGCGAAACTGAACTATTAAATAGATTTTCTTGGGAGAGAGAGCAAACAGACCAGACAACGCCTAATAGGACAATCCGCTGACCGTAGACGCTTTGTCTACTGTACAGTAATCAAGTTTTGCTTTTCGCCTCAAACTGACCGAGACTGGCTTACTTTAATTTCTTTTCAACATTGCAGCTATTAGTTGATTCCTACGATTAATTATGATGATGATGATGATGATCGTTTAGCATACTGAAAATTGTCCAAAAATACCTCGGTGATTTGATCCACGTCTACGCCTTTATTGCTAAAAGTTGAACAGAATAGTCGCAAAGCTGCTTTCGGAAAGCAGCGAGCTCATAATCAGGTGTTTCACGGAAAACCCTAGTGTAATAAAATGTAGGGTCTCGTTTTGCAGTTTTGTAATGAATACGTCGCGGCGGTTATCGTTGGGTAAAATCTATCGCATACTACAAGTGCAGAGAAAATAGCTGTGTGAAGGATATTATCAGAATATGAAACTTGTTGTTTAGGTGTACACAATCACATTAATTAATTAATTGTTAACTCTGTTTAAAATGTTTCACCACCTAGTTGTTATTGTTGCGGGCTTGGAAACCGTACAGCATTGTGACCCGTGTTGGAATTGGATCGGTTGTGGAGCCAAAAGAAGTGACTCGAGATTGTCAAGCGTTAGATCGCGTACATGATGGTTACAAAACGACGGCCAGACTCTCATACACCTATCTGCAACACAAAGACGGAGTTAAATTTTGAACAGTTAGGCCCCAGATAAGAAGAGATTATTTGGGATAGACGATTTAAAACAATGGTCTGCTAGGGGGGAAGCCGGCAACACGTCCAGATTTAGAGCGGCAAATCGTATAGAGACCGTGTGAGATTGTTGTGGAAGACAGCAGAACTATAAACAACAGACATCAAGCAATGTATGATGAAAACACCAAAGAGGATAAGAGCAAGGATCATATGCACCGTGTAAAGCTGACAGATTATCTTGGACAGAATCTGATGATGTTGACTCATCCTTGGTCACATCTCGTCCAGCATGTTAGGTATGACCAAGGAGTGCAGGTGTAGAGCACAACACTGCAAACTGTGTGTGGTATTGTACAACTTAAACTTAAGAGAGTGGCGGTTGGTAAAAGCGGAACAGTAAAACCCCCGGGTAATGCTTGTACAAGTCCAATTGTCTCATTTTACGAACATCGTAAGTATACAGTTCGATGTACTGTGGTTTAGGAGTAGTGCGACGTTTATATTTATCTTACGTCCGATAACGCATCGATCAACAATCCCAATGGAGACATTTATTCGTCCACAGAACAGTAAGTTTCAGTGCGCTCCAAATTGTATTAACTATAAACGCCGCTCACATCAAGCAAGGAAACTAAGAGAATTTTCACACAATTGAAGGTAACTGAGATAGTGACTTTACGAGAAGCACTGAATGAAATGAGATACTTTGTAAATGTATGACAACATAAGTATGAATCGTAGTGTATTTACGACGTTTGTAAGCAGTTATGATGGTCATGATGAAAAACCTGAGTAGAAGGGTGGATGCTATATTGATTTGAGACATCGAGGGGGAAATAACTGCAAGATAAAAAATACAGACTGATAATCATTATGGTAAGTAACAGAAAGGCATCAACGCGTAGCCAACGATCGAAGACGCCGGAGTACAGCATCCGTGAATTCAGTTGTGGTCGAACAACCACCGATGTCGGGTGTCCGTACTTTGCCTTCGTGGATCACCTGCAGAATGGCCGATTCAACCGCTTTGGCATATTCGACCAGATTCAAGTGACGTAACATCTCGGCACTTGCCAGAAGAATAGCTGTCGGATTGGCAATATCACGTCCAGAGGCCATAGCAAACGAATGGCGTGTTCCCGGTTCGAAAACGGCAAGCTGCAGGTAAAAAGATGAACGGTAACAAATATTATGAAACAGCATCAGTAAGGACGAGAACTAACATCTTGACATTTCACATTAAAAAAGTAGGATATGGTCATTCATGTATCTTTTATACTTCAGAAAAACGGCATGACCCCAACCAACTTTGGATGGCTGTCGGTAAACCATCTTTCACGCTGGAAGTTATTTCACTTCGTAATTAATTAACACGCTACTGATATCATTATCAGTAATATAACTAAAGTGTGGAAAGAGGATATCCAGAATACCACGCTTTTTGCAATGAAATGAAAATTGTGGATACAACGACACATCATACGATTAAGAACTCTTGTTTCTGTGACACTTACAATCGACGATAACCATTCTTGATCAGTACTGCAAGAGTACTATAGCGAATACTATGATATATATATATATATATATATATATATATATATATATATAGTATATGTACATGAACTGACAAAAGGTTACGGGATACGCATGCCTGACGAGCGGCAAGAACCGCGAAACCGGTCGTGTGCTTCCAGGGAAATTTTTCCAGTCATTCACACACTACTTATTATCAAATATATATATAATTATCATCGTGGGCACTTCAGATCCAACCTCATGCTCACCATTCAATCATCGTATAACAGGTGACTCGGAATCCAAATCTAGCGCTGTTGCTGGTGTTGCGATTCCGTCAAGTCTCAAAGCTGGGCACTCGCTTCTTGACTGGATTCCAATCAGTAGCCGACTGTGTGCTGTGTCTCGACGGGTCAACACGGGTCAAACGAAGCCCAGTCTCCTGGCCCTCCAGGTTGGGGGAGGGGTCAACGGGAATTTGCGTTACAGTCGGTAAAAGTGGTGGAGGAGTAATCGATCCCAGTAAATGGGCCTCCACTTCGCTTCACCTACTGCCTTGTGATTAGGCTCTTGACAGAACTAAAGGCTTTGGACGAGAACCCTAATCGTTTTCCTGCTTTGTGACTGGACACTTAGCAGTCCCCGTCCATCAAACCACAATGCACACAAAATAAAAATAATTCCATACTGCATCCGTCGTCGCGCAGGATAATCACGACTGCGCCGCACACTGCATCGAGCAAGGTGGGTAGTGATAAGTGGGCTACTGTTCAGATATCCCAACCTTTGTTTAAGTTTTTGTCTTCAGCATCCAGCCCTCTCCATTTGCCTCTCCTTCCAACCTCTAAAAGTCCCTCAGGCAACTTGGATATCGCCCACCTAAGGTCGTTGCCAAATAGCACTGTAAGTATTGTACCACGGAGTGAATTGCAGATTCTAAAGCCTCGTCAATCAGTGAATTTGAGGGCGTTCAATGTGAAGACTTTGATGCAGCTAGGTCAACAAGCTTGTCTGGCTCGTACAATGGAATCCTTAGGAATCGATGTTTGCTGTGTATCGGAAACTCGAATTCAGAGTCCTACTACTATAAGTCACTTGAGCGCGCCAGATTTGTCTTCCAGATACGTTCTTCGCACATCAGGCGACGATGAAGCTCGTTCAGTAGGTCAGCGCTGGGTAGGTACTGTATTCAGCAACAGGGTGGAGTCCTCTCCTATCGACTGGATCCCCGTCAACAGCTGTTTATGTACAGTGCGTCTCCAGGGTTCAATCAGCGTCCGAAAGGAAAGCAATACCAGGTGTTTGTTCATCGTATCGGCATACGCACCGACCAGTTGCAGTTCTGATACCCAAAAGGACGCTTTCTACGATGAACTCATCGATCTCATGCAGCTGAGTCTAAGTTCCGACATAATTGTACTTGCAGGTGACTTTAATGCACAAGTTGGAAAACTGAGCGCATCAGAAGCTTGTCTAGGCGGAAGTTGTTCTGCCCTGCCAACGAACAGATAACGGCGATCAACTTCCTCAGTTCTGCGCAGATCATCATCTGTCCGTACGTAGCACCAACTTCCGACATAGCTATCGACAGACGGCAAAATGGCACTCCAGTTCAACTGGTACGCTAACTCATATCGACCACATAGCAGTAAGCTACCGTTGGCGTTGCTCAGTGAAAAATTGCAGGTCCTATTGGACCACCTGCGTTGAGTTTGACCACGCATTAGTTTTGATACAGTTCACTCTCCGACTGACTGGTCGGCGACGAATTCAACAAACTCGGATAGCCCATCATCGACTATCTGTTCCAGCAGTTCGTGCGCGCTATGAATGAGAGCTAGTGCGTGGACTACGCGCGCCGCAACCTGATGATGTATATGAGCAAGGGGATCAGATGAGGCGAGCAATGCATTCCGCAGCGAATGTTGCTTTTGGGTTTGAGCCTCAAGCCCGTCGGAGGCTTTGAATATCTCAGGAGTCAGTAGCCCTGATGGAGGAAAAATGACGAATCCCAACCTACCAGGATCAAAGAAGAGTTAGGTGGCATCTACATCAGCTCACGAAAAGCATCAAGAAGGACCGTGAGAACTAGTGGGCAACAATAGCCAGTGAAATGGAAGTAGCATCTGCGTCCGGGAATAGTCAAAGACTATTCCGACTGATACGCAATACGGGAAGTCAGCGAAATGCAGTTAGCGAAACAGTCTGTGATAAGATGGGACAAGCTATTCTCAATAGGGATCAACGACTCAATCGCTGGGCAGAATACTTCAACGAACAGTTCAGCTGGCCTGCTGCTAACCAGGTTGCCTCATCCGCAATTGAAGCTCCTTGGGCAGTGTCGTACGATCCTACCGCAGAAGCAGATGTTTGGTCTTGCATTTAAGCTCTGAAACGAGGAAAAACCGCAGGACCAGATAAGCTCCCTCCCACTCTTTTCCAGATCGGCGGTGATAACCCCGTAAGCTGTATGACTACCTTACTGCGCAACATTTAAAAGAAAGAGCGCATTCCTCCATCTTGGGGCGAATCACTGATCGTTCCCATTTTCAAGAAAGGATCTTGCAACGACTACAAAAACCACCGCGGGATCAGTTTGATCCCGATCGTCACCAAAGTGATAGCCTCTGTTATACTTCGACGTCTGACTCCTTTAAGAGAGATCAACATCTGTGAACAGCAAGTCGGATTCCGGCCTGGCCGTCGGTGCATTGATCAAACTTTTACGTTGCGTCATGTCCTTGAGCTGCGTCACATCCACCGCCGACTAACGATAGCAGTGTTCCTTGACCTGAAAAGAGCCTTTGACTCAGTTGATCACGAAGCTCTGATGGGATCCCTTCTTCGAAAAAGAATGCCCCAGAAGTAAGTTAACCTACTGAGGTCACTGTACTCACATTCCTCCGGTCGTGTAAGGGTCTATGATGAACAAAGTAAACCATTCGTCACCAGCAGCGGCGTTCGTTAAGGGTGCCCTCTCTGGCCGTTCCTGTTCAATTTCATCGTAGACGAAATAGTGGAAAACGCACTAAGTGGTGTCCAAAACGTAGGTATTGAATGGGCAGGTGGAGAAAAGCTGAGAAATTTCGAATACGCCGATGACGTCGTCTGTCTGTTCGAATGAATGGAGGACGCGAAAAGCGCACTTGATAGACTAACAAGTGCAGTTGCCCCATTCGGTACGTGCTTTGCACCTTCAAAGTGCAAAGTGATGCTGCAGGACGGGGTTTCACCTACTAACGCTCTAAAACTAAGTGGTCAGAAATTAGTTACGGTGAATTGCTTTTCCTACTTAGGTAGTCGCGTGGCCAATGAAGGTAGCGCAGCAAAGGAGATAACCGCCCTCATTTTGATTATCGTTGTTTACGCAGTTTAGCCCGCGTGGGATGGAGCGACCGGGCTAGTAACGTGGAGGTAAGCCGCCGTGTGTTTGGGATTCTATCGGCCACATCGAATTCCGATTAATAGACTTCGCTGGCTAGGGCACGTATTGCGTACGCCCATTCATCGTCTGCCACACTACGCTTTATTTGCTGTAGTTAATCCAGGCCGGAGGAAACCACGTGAAGGTCAACAGATGACGTGGAGACGAAGCATGAAAAAATGCACAGAGCCATTAGGCAGAGTATGTGTCTCGCCTTCCAGATTGGGGTTCGAAAGACTCTGCAACTGGTTGGTTGGAGACACTGAAGGATATGGCGACTAACCGACAGCAATGGCGTTCTTGTTGTCATTCTTCATCAGACCAGAACGCTTGAAACGGTATGTATGCAGAGTTTGATTGTGCACTCTGTGTGTTGACCATAGTGGTTCACCTTCTTTTCCCTCCCTCAAAGTAGGTCCAATTCCTGTCCACCTGAAAGTTTACCACTAATCTTGCATGCATTGCGACGATCTGTGAAGTTCGCCTCATTGTATTTCGCTGTACGACTATGATGACAAGGGTCAACAGCTACAGAACGAAGCGTCGAAGCTTATTCGTCGGTATGGCGCACGCACCATGCGAGTGCAGAGCATACGAAATGAAGGATGAATTCTACAAGGACCTCTCGCAACCTCTCCAAAGTACTCGATCAACGTACATCGTCGTAGCCGCTGGANCATCGTCGTAGCCGCTGGAGACTACAATGGATGAAGCAGAAAGGGGCCTGGCGGCCCACACGCAATCACAGCCAACCGGACGGACAATGGAGGTCGCCTACTTCAACCCGGCGGGGACCACAGATTGTTTCCATTGAGCACCAACTTACCAAGCTCAGATTTTCCCTACACTTGAATACTGCCGTCATGTGTAGGGTGGAGCTTCGTCTATCTCTCTTCTTGATCGAGTTCAAAGTAAGGCCATTCGTCTCATAAACGGCCCGTCCCTAATATGTCACTTTCAGTCGCTAGCTTACGGTCGGGCAGTCGCTTCGTTTTCCTTATTCCAACGATACTAGTTTGTATTTTGCTCTAGAACTTTCCGATTCTG